CTGTGTTAAGGAGATGCATTTGTCATATTACAGTAAAAGGCTTGGCAATGTTTTATTATGTGCTCTGATTTTCAGGAATGCAAAACTTAAAATAATAATAATAATTAATAAGAAATTACTAAAGCTTGTTGTATCATATGGATCCTGAAGAGTTTTATAAACTAAGGGTCAGAATTTCACCTAGTGTAAACAATCTGGCAAATATTAGTGGAAGGACACTGATTTACATCTGCTGAGAATCTGGCTCTACAGGACTATGGGGAGAAATCCACTTACCTACTATTGACTGGAGCTACCTCTGGGGTACAATATATAAGCTATCCAACAGCACAAAACAACATTAAACAGGAGTTTAGAAAAGAAAAATGCCATAATCAGTTTAACCTGTAGGATACATTTAGATAAATGACGCTACTATTCTTTTTTTTTCATTGAAGGATTTCAAATCAATATTCTTAATAAATAAAAACACTAACACAAGTGCTTTACAAATATTAAATAAACCTCCTGAGCCAGAATCTCAGCTGGTGTCAATTTGCGTAGCTCCATTAACTATATTGGTCCTCACCAGCTGAAGATACAGCCCCCACAACATCCGTATAAGTGAGGTAAGTATAAGTGATTCATAGATTGTAAGGCTGGAAGGGACCTCGGAAGATCATTAGATCCAGCCCCCTGCACTAAGCAGGAAATACAACTGGGGGCTGGACACGTCAAAATGCCACATCATATCCCAAAAGGAATCAAAACTTGTGGAAGAGGTGATATCTTTTATAAGACCAACTAGATATTTGCAAACAAATTATTTTATTTATTTGCAAGCTTTTGGGCATACGCACCCTTCTTTAGGCATAGGAGAGAACAGAATTTGTAAACATTCTCTTAGGTAGAAATGAAAATTCGTATTTCACAGGAGAGCTGAAAATGTAGTAAAATTTCCTGTTTGGAATTGTTCATTTTGTCCAGGTTTTTTTGCAAAAATCTAGTTGGCCTAATAAATCTAGTTGACCTCTACAATGAATTCAGATTCCTTTTGTCCAGGTAAGGCATGGAGAAAGGTTGAGGCACAGAGAAAGGTCTTTTTACCTCTAAGTTGTCTGGTGGCCAGCAGGATGTAGAAGCATATTTCCTTCTGGCTTTGATGTTTCATATTTCACAGAAGAGTGGAAAGGTGGAAAGCTCTTCTGGAAGCTCTGGATATTAAACTGTGTGAGTGAAATGTGTCTTTAAGAAGGTATGGCATATCCTTTATGCTGAACAAAATGGCTCACCCAGTACCACAGAGCAAACAAAGGGTAAAAGTGGGGAAGCACCCAGCTTTGAAGATCCTTGATCTAGCGCTGGACAAAAGTTCCAGACCACATGTTATGTCTCAGGTCCTCAACTGAAATAAAATAGTTTGGCTCTGTTGGCTTCAATGGAGCTAAACAGATTTACACCAGCTGAGGAGCTGGCCCTTTTTTGTCTAGTGTAATGTCTTGGACTTGGATGCTGCAGTAGGTACCACACGGGTGGGCAGATGAAGCTGGTGCAGAGCCATCAGTGTGGCTCATGACATAGCAATCTGTCTGAGAGCTCTCACTTGCACAATGGGAGCCTTAATGTGTGTTTGTCTCTGCAATGTGTGGGTGGATGGGTGTGTGTGAAGGGGGGTGAGAGAGGCACCTGTCAGACTGTGATCTTTGTGTGTGTGCCGCACCAGTGTCACTTCTGTCTCCTACTCCCCAGTATGTCACTCTCTCCCCTTCACCTGTGTAGGTAACTGTGTGCGGACAGAAAGCACGGCCGGGGGGGCTGTCGTCTCTGCCTCTCTGGGCGCGTTTGCTCTAATGGATGCGCTCGCCTGTGTGCAACACTCCTGCGTTGTGTCTGCATGTTACGTGCCTACTTGTCTCCCGTGTCTATGCGTGTGTGTGTGTGTGTGCGTGCGCGCGCGCGCGTGTGGAGGCAGAACACACCACTGCGGCAGTGCAGGCTGTTGCTGCTGAAGGGAAGAGAGGGGGGGAGAGGGAGGGAGGGAGCTCCAGATGCTCTTGCTCCCTCAGGGGCTGGAGTCTTTTTTCTCGCCTTGGCCCTCCTCTGCTCCTGGCAGCCTGAATATTTCATTCATGCTTTCTCCTTCGCCATGGCTCCCCCTCTCTCTCCGATTCAGGGAAAAACAGGGGAGGGCTGGGGGGGGGGGGGG